CACGTTGCCAGATCAATGGCGACTACTATGTGACTACTATTTCGAAAAAAATGGCGTCCAAAATGGACTCCTATGTCGCGACCCCCTTAGATATACCAGCCCTGCACGAAACATACTTTTGACAAGTATGACAGTTCGAATGCAGTGTTGAGTGTGACACTAGTGCAACAAATAAAAGTCATTATTAAAGTTTATTCTCTCTCGCTACCATTTCATTTGGTGTGTGGTTTTTGTTCAGGACCGTCGTTGGCGGGGAAGGGATAAAGGTAGTTCCTGTTAAAATATTTTATTTATTGGTTTTCTTTTGAACTTGTTTAAATATCATTTAAAACGAATTAGGAGTTACCTAACTGTAGCAACCCGTTTGTGAAACTGCATAATTTTTATAAAATGGAATACATATATACCTTAATAAAAAACATACCTTGGTATTTTCGAACATTTTCAAGGTTATACAGTAGATGAGACGGCAAAATTTTGTATAGACTCGTATTTACTGCAAAATTATTTAATATAAAATGCAAAGCGCTTTCGGCATAACGCCATCTTCAGTGTTTATCTACAATAAGTGTGGGTGTAAATGTAAGTCACAAAATTAATTTAAAAAAAAATAAACAAAGTTACAAATGAAAGAAAAGTACAACATTACAGAAAAACCCAATGTTGGAGACAATGATTAGGGCAAACCCTTAAACGTTCAAATAGAACCTCAAGAAGCATGTGCTTGTTTAGAGATAAAGGGTTATGCCCCAATCATTGTCCAAATTGAATTGTGCGTACATTAAAAGACAAATTAAAATGAAAGAGGGGAAACATGTTATGAATCTAAATGAAAGTAAATTTGAAATTCAGAGATAAAAGAAAAATTTTTATTAAAAATAATATCCAAAAAGTTTTAAAGTCACCTAACATTAAATGTTGGAGTGTCTCACATTGTTAAATATTTAAAGAAAATAACTATAAAGTATCCAGAAAAGGGAAGATGAATATTATCTAATCATCTCTAAAAAAATTGTAACATGAACTCAGGTAGTTCTTATCAAATATCCAACTATGTGATGCATCAGGAATGCCAGTAAAACAGTAATAAATATGTTAACATCAGCACGTTCTTATGTTGTGGCAGAGAGCCATTCTTGGAGAATCAAACATTAAAATTAAATTATTGTGAAGAAACCACTCAGGGGTGATAGTTTATTTTCACTAAGATATTTATTTTATTTGAATAAGGATAAATTTCCCGACCGTACTAGCATTTTATATAAATAAAAAGTTCCTTGGTTTTTTCAGTCAAATAATTTAAATTTTTTTATGTTTTAAGCACTACATATGTTTCGTAAAATACAATCTTTCCATCTTCTGGTGCAGTCAATTTATAAAAAGTATGGGGACGAATACAGTTTAAAAAATTTTAAAATAATAGAACCCAATCTTTCTATTTCACATCGTGTGAAGGTGTATTCGAAATCATAATTTGGTTTGACACAATAAAGTAGGGAAACAAAAAGATGAGTTTTTGCAAATTTAAAATTATCAGTGACGTTACAATTAAAGATTAAAAAGCTTACAATTAGTTAAATAAAATTGAAATAAACGTTTGATAAATCTTTTATGTCGGTTTTATTATTTTTTTAATATGTATCATCTCAAGGATTGTTCTTTTGTTGAAATTTGGTTGCTTTTCGAAAATTCTTGTATTTTCAAACGCAGTGGCGGCTCGTGGGCACTAGCGGCAGTGGGGCACACACTGCATGGAAAGGAATCCCGGGATTCGTTTTTCCCTTAGGAAAACAAGTTCTCCGCTTAATGAAAATTAAATATATGTATTTCAAAACAATCAGTTGGGGCAATAACGATGTCTGAATGTGACTACAGGGAGCTAAATGTGACCACTCAAAATGCATTTAACTATGTATGTGGCTATTTAATCAAAAAATCATTACATATCCACTCTTGCGAAATTTGCGTAAATTTCTCGGAAGAATGCAATTTACTTAACAATTCTAACTTTTTAACGCATTTTAAAGCATACGACTCTGAAGAAAAGGTGTTTGGCAATTTAAAATCTCCCAGCGAAAAATTTCTCTTTTATATTTTTAAATTAGAAAAAATATTTATATATCTTTTTGATAGTTTGTCAACTAAGCCTGGAATTTCCAACGCATACTTTTTTGAGATGAGCAAAATAGAATTTGGTCGTCCTTGCCAACAATTTGCGAAAATGTACACCATTAAATTATTTATAAGACTCAGAATTTTGTATACTCTTAAATATGCAAACTGAGATTTGAAATGTTCGAAAAAGTCAGACAAACCCAAAAGAAAAATTAAAATTTTGTCCGATTTATAAATATTATTGATATTTTTCATCATATTTTTGACTGCTTTATAAAAAAAAAAGTTACTTTTCTTTGTAGTTTTATTTCTTAACTATTCCAATGGTCAAACTAACGTTTTTTCGTAATCACAATAAATAAATTATTATCATGGTCCAACAAACGCGCACCTTAAGCCGAAACCGGCATCATCTTTGTGAGGGAGCCGGTAAAGATGCCGCTGCGTACATTCGTATCTGGTCTAGGTAATCTGTGCCATGGGTACAGCACGTCACGACGAGGACAGCGGCCCGCTTGTGACGCATAATCCATCGCATGTGTTCATCTCTTGCTAAGTGATATTGTCGTTGTCCTTGTTTTTCGCATCATAATGAGAGAGAAAACAACAGAGGCACACATCTCATCTTCCACTTAATTTCGGAATTCTCGGAACGTCGCTCAACGCCCGGTCGTCCAGTGTCGTGCCAACGCGGTATGCGCCGAATATTAGATAAAATAATAATAGGCATTGAGGAAAATATAAAATATGTAAGTTATTTTTTTTTGTTTATTATACTAGGGCACGTGCCCAAGTGCCCTTACGGGCAAACCGCGACTGTTCAAACGCATGTTTAGTCAAGGCAGTGGAATTTACATTATGCGTTAGGTTATTATTTTGATATTTTTTGATTTTTATAAAAATATTGTTTTGTTTGTCTAATGTAAGTAAATTATTACAGTCTTTGCACTCAATTTTATAAACAACATTTAGTTGATTTATTTTACTAATTTTGGGCTTAAAATTCGAGAATAACGTTTTAGTTGTATTCTGAACATCCGAAAATGTCTCAATACGCCCCTGAATAAAAGTATAATAACTGTAGCGGTTTATTCGGATGTCGCGCAAGCATCACCGCGCCGACTTTGGGATTCCCAGCTTCACTATGATTTGTTCTGTTTTGCTGTTTAGGTATATGAATCAGAATATAGACAAAAAGAAAACAAACCTTGACTGGGCATGAGAACCAGCCATATCAGGAAGATTCTTAAGTTATTGTCACTATTAGGAATAACATTATTGATATTAATAATTCATCAGATGCATCAGATGAGGATATACGGATATACCAATATCAATGTTAATAAAATAATGTTAAAATCTGTTTGTTTTTATTTTTTTAATTAGAGTTATAAATGTTATAATAAAAGGTTTTGTTGTTTAGAATATAGGTTTTTGTTAGTGTGTTTGTGTTAAAATTTAAAATATAGTTTGTGCAAGAGAGAATACTGTTTTTAATTAAATAATTAAATTTTAAAAATGATATATATCGGATATATATCCGATATATATCATGTGATATATTTATATAAATATCATGATATTTTCGAACCCTGATTTTTGTATTATATTTAGAGAACATTTTAGAAACCTGTTCTGAAAATCCTTTTACATATGGCAGTGAAATGAAAGACCAAATTTCAACAAGAGAACAATCCTTGAGATGATAGTTATTATTTCGAATACACCTTCACACTATGTGAAATAGAAAGATGGGGTTTTATTATTTTAAAATTTTTTAAACTGTTTGAGCTCGTCCCATACTTTTTATAAATTGACTTCACCAAAAGTTGGAAAAATTGTATTTTCCGAAAAATATATATTTGGCCGATTAAACCAAGGATTTTTTTATTCATATAAAATATTGATTTTATATCTCTTTTACTAATTTAATAATTTACTTTGACAATATTTATCTGAAGAGAACGATATCTTTACTAAAACTTAAACGGAAAAACAGTACATTTTTATAGACGAATGTGGCATTCTAGAATATTCCAGACGTTCTTCGACTATGAATCCGTACATCGACTAGAACAAGCTTCGGCGCATCCAGAAATTCTAGAAGTCAATGGTTCACGACTAGCGATGACTGATCATAGGCGTCTCATGGGGGTTTTGGAGGTTGACTTATTTCATAGAATATTTTTGATAACGAAAAAAATGGATGCCGTAAAAGGCTCAAATAAGGCACAGAGAGAGACTTAATGGTAGAGCAGGGCCGGACTGGTCGAAATTAGATCTCAACACTAAATATATGTTGGAAATGATGGTATATCACAAATATTTTCAACCATGTAAAACAATATCGCCTTCGCATTTTAATGAAAATAATCCATTAATATAGATAATAAACAGCGGTGGTCCTAGCACTGATCCCTGAGGAATTACATGCTTTAAAACTCTTGCACTGATTATGTACAGGGTGTTCCTAAATGTCTTGTCAATATTAAAGAAAGTAAAAATCCTCGGATTACTTTATGACAAACTTTCATATAAAAACATGTGTTCTAAATAGCTTTTTCTAAATCGGGTTTTCATTATTATAGTAACTACTGGGAAGATAATTTAAACCTAATCAGATAAAAATTATTAAGCCCAGTGGCGTCCCAAAATACAACCTAAATTATATTAAAAAAAAAAATTTAAAGCCCATGTTTATTTAAAATTTGAGTCTTAAAATAGGAAATGGAGTTCTATCAGATAAGGGTGATTACTCACATGATTAATTCTATAAAAATTATTCTTTATTCAGGTACCTATCCTCCTTCAATATTGACATGCCATTTAAAACACCTTGTATATTGCCACTTAAAACGTAAAATTTTACTGATACTGGTACTTACCCTAATATTCTAGATATTAACCAACGTCCAATAATAAAACAGTGTCGATTACCTTGTTACAGTTTCTTTCGAATAGGTACCGGTACACTATATAATTTCTATAAATTATTACTTATTGTACCGTAAAATAAAACAGTACCGCGTATTTATTACAAAACCGACTTTCTAAGCTTCTCGGCAGTCATTAATTTAATGTCTCAGATCTTGAAAAAAAAAATTGAAGGAAATGGAAGAGATGGCGTTGAATCGTTGCCTTAGCAACGTCGGCGCTCAACTGTTCGCTCGAAAATTGTTGATCATGTACGGTTTGTTTATTGCAAAAGCACGGCCTACTCCGCGACCAAAAGGTTACGGGGGATCGGTAATTTTTTTATGAAATAAATGAAAAATTGATTAAGTAAGAAAGTAAGCTAGCCCGTGGTCAATATTATAGCTAATTTGATATAAAGAATTAGAAATGGCGGATTGTGGAATTATATTTTGGTCATTTTCTAGGTGGACCACGATTACGAAAATAACACATCAAAATTCATAAATATTATGTAATCGTATTGTTCTAAACATTATAAATGTAAATGGTATACGTAGTGTGTATAAAAAGTAACGTAGGTAACTTGCTAATATTTCGATTTCTGGTAGATTTACAAACAACATTTTAAATAAAAATTTTATGATACAAATCAAGTTATCAGTATAAATTAATTAGAAATATACCAGGCCCACGCATGGATATATTTTTTCAAATGAGTAGTACATCTTGTATATTTTTTCAATTTTATTAAATTTAAAATACAAACCTTAAAACCGCATAGTGCTTTTTTATTGATCCGAATACAGTTAAATGATCTCGGCTGTAGCTGCAAAAAAAAATAGTATTGTCATGCGAGCCATTTTCGACCAATTCGATAATACTCTAATCCCTTAAGTCCCTCCCTGCCATATTTAGACCTTTTACTACCTCCATGTAATAAGTAAACCTTCGAAACCCCCATGTTAAGCATATGGACATCATCCAGTCAAAGTGAATAATTCATTTTAAAAATACTAGACCCGTGACACAGCATCCTGAAGCGACGATTCTGGCAAATACAGCAGTCTATAAAATTGCTACACCGTACCCATAGCATGTTCTGGCGAATGCGCGAACATTCGGGAAACATAATAAGAAAAAAGTTGATTGCATCGAGTAGTTGTCACAACCAACTGATAAACCTCAAATAAGAAGTTTTCTTATTCTTTGTATGTATTATCGAAGATTAATAGAGAATTAGATATTGCTAAGACATCGCGACTTACAGAAAAGTAAGATTTCTGCTGGCACGATGACTGCCAACTGCCTTTGAAACTTTAAAAAAGCATTAAGCCACCTTGTCAATTTTAGGCTACGCACTACCAGGAGATTTTTTCTGGGCTATTTTAGTAAAGTGCTCTCCAAACCTGAACGAAATTACTGCGTGACGAGAATAGAACTCCTGCCAGTTTTGAAGTGCGTAGAATACTTCTACCAATACCTATATGGATGGAATTTTTTAATATGGACCGATAGATGGTTTTCACCTGAATTGAAAAATTTCATAATTCTAAAGAAAGAGACTCCTTAGATTTAAATTTAGTGGATCTTCTAGCGACTACTTGGTATTCTCTAACTTGCGCTCTCAATGCAAACTTAAGTCTAAACAGGATTACAATGAGTACATTAGACTTACTGAATCATCTGTTGGTAATGATATTAAAACACTTTGGAATTTTGCCAATTCAAAAAGAAAAAGTAATGAGTTACCCAACGAAATGTACTATAACAACACTAGATGCTCTATGGCTACTTGTAGTTTTGTTATATCCCGTCCACTCCATATTATCTTTAATGTTTCGCTTCATAATGGAATGTTTCCTAATTACTGGAAATCAAGTTTTACTGTACAGATTTACAAATCAAGCGACAAATCAAATATAACTAATTACAGGCCAATATGTATTCAAAGTGTGATTCCTAAACTCTTTGAGTTTGGTTTCCGTTCCAAAAAGTCAACTGAACTTAACCTGTTGTCGTATTTTTATTACTTATCGAATGCCTTGGATACTAATGATCAAGTTCATGCTATATACACTGATTTTTCAAAGGCTTAACCACAATTGCTTGATTGGAAAGCTTAGTAATATTGACATTGGTGGTAATCTTCTGAAATGGATCGAATGCTTTATAACGAATCGCATTCAAATTGTTCGTGTTTCTGGATTCTTATCCTCTGGCTTTACCACTACATCTGCTGTCCCTCAAGGGTCACATTTGGGAACACTACTTTTTAATATATATAACAATGATATCAAAAATTGTTTTATGAATTCTCAGTTCCTTTGCTTTACTGATGATTTAAAATTATTCATTCGTGTAAATTCCTTACATGATTATATTTGCCTTCAAACAAACTTGGATAACTTGGTCCAATGGTGTAGTACTTATGGCATGGAATTAAATTCAAGTAAATGTCATGCAATCAATTTCAACAGAAAACATACTCCTATTGAATATATCTATAAATCAATGGCATAACACTGGAAACTATTACAGAGGTAAAAGATTTGGGTGTGATACTAGATTCCACCCTTTCTTTTCAAACTCATGTTAATAAAGCATTAAGAATGTTGGATTTCCTTAGAACAACTACTTCTGATTTTCATAATGTGATGTGTTTTAAGATTCTTTATTGTGCCTTAATTAGACCTTATATTGAATATGCTTCTGCTCTATGGAATCCTTTTTATGTATATCCAATCCATAATATAGAATAGGTTCAAACAACATTTTTACACATTGTTGCATTTAAATCGGGTATCGTCCCGGTTAACTTTAGATACAATTACGACGAATTGCACACACTTTGTCATCTTGAGACCCTTCTGAGAAGAAGAAACCAAGGGGACCTTAAAATATTGTTTAACATTATTAACTCATCTGCCGATTGTCCCTACTTGTTATCCCAAATTGTATTTTCTGTACCCTCTAGAACTCTAGAGTAACTAGGAATACTAATACATTGTCCCAACCTTTCCATAGAACAAATTATGGTTCCTTCTCATTCTTTTATTCCTAGAGTGACAAGATCTGCTAATAGACTAAATGTAGAATGGATTACTTCTCCATCAGAATTTCCTAACCATTTAAGTATATGTGAGGAATAGATGTTAGATTTTTAAGTGTTTTTTAATATGTATATATTTTAATTATCATTATTATTATTATTATTATTATTATTATTATTATTATTATTATTATTATTATTATTATTATTATTATTATTATTATTATTATTATTATTATTATTATTATTATTATTATTATTATTATTATTATTATTATTATTATTATTATTATTATTATTATTATTATTATTATTATTATTATTATTATTATTATTATTATTATTATTATTATTATTATTATTATTATTATTATTATTATTATTATTATTATTATTATTATTATTATTATTATTATTATTATTATTATTATTATTATTATTATTATTATTATTATTATTATTATTATTATTATTATTATTATTATTATTATTATTATTATTATTATTATTATTATTATTATTATTATTATTATTATTATTATTATTATTATTATTATTATTATTATTATTATTATTATTATTATTATTATTATTATTATTATTATTATTATAGAATTTTATTACTATTTAATGAATGTGATAGATAAATAAATAAGTAGCTGATGCAGTTCAAGAAGCCGGTTGGTCAAATAGCCAGATGGATTAAACAATTTCAATGGTATGACTTTACTTTCAGATCGAACATCGAGTCGAAATAAGCCACATAAATGCCGATTGTCTTTCTAGACCGTGCCCAGCAGAGTGCTCTCACTGCATCAGCGCTTCGACCCGGAATCGTTCCAAAGCCCTGGAACTCTTCCAAATACCCTCTCACACTAATAGCCTCTTTAAAATGTCGCGACGATAGTGTAAACGTCGCTGTCTGGTCAGATGGAGTGTTAAACTTCCATTGTAAAAGATCCTTGGTACACTGGTGTGATATGTAAAGTCGGGAAAAACCCTTTAAAGTACTCACAGTGGCGATCCATTGATGGCAAGTTGTTTAAACATATTAGAACCAATTATAAATCCTTGCAATTGGACAAAGGTAGTTCCTAAGGGGTAATTATTCAACAACTACATGATACCTTTAGCTGGACACTTGGGTGTGCTGAAATTGTTTTAAACGCATTAGTGAGAGGTTTTATTTGCAGATGTGGCTGTGTTTGTTAAAAATTGTGTGGTATATGCGGCGCATAAGGTCAACCAGAGTGATTCGAAAGGACAGATGACACGCCTAACCCAGGAATACTCGTCCATGGGAAATGATTGACTTGATAGGTCCATTACCTCGGTCCGTGGCTGGCAATGGATTTATTTTGGTCGTCATCGATCTCTTCAGTAAGTTTACGCTTCCCTTTCCTTTGTCTTCTACTGCACAATTAGTGTCTAAACGAATTGAAGAGGGGGTATTTTTATTGTTTGGTTGCACCGCGGCGATGATAGTGAACATAGAATGCGAAGTAACTAGTACAAAGTATGCACTGTTGCTGGATATTGAAGCATTCAGGACCACATGACTAACAACTACAAATAACTATCAACAAAGTCGCGAGTGTGGACTGCCACAAGTGAAAGTGACGTACATGGGGAAATCCAGGTTTAACAAGAAATTAGTACAGAAAAGTTCACTCATACCTGCTATTGTCGCTGATATCGAAGACGACATAATGCGGGGAATGGACGTAATGAACTTACATGCCATCCAGTTGGATTTTAAGAATGGAGCGATCAGAGTTGGTGCCGCAAAGATATTCCTTCATCCTTTATCCATGTAAGAACAGTACCGTGCTAGTAGCCAGACTTCAAGTCCAAAATAAAAAATTGTTTTGTCTAGTATTTTCTAGAATACATGATTGACTTCGAGTTGGCGATGTCCATAGACGTTAAATTGGAGGGTTTCGGAGGTAGACTTATTTCATCTATATTATTTTTGGTAACCGGAAAATGAGGGCCGTATATGGCCCAAATAAGACAGAGAGGGACTTAAGGGATAATCAGCCGTGTTGATATCAAGTTCATTTAAGATTGATCTTCTACCAGCGAAGGAAGAAAGAGAAGAAAAAGAAAGACAAAAGAAAATCAAACTAGAATTGAAAACAAAAGAAACGAAAAAGAAAAAGAAGCAAAGAAAAAAAAATCAGAGAAAAACAAATTTAAATCGACTAATCCTGTTTTGTTTGAAGACTCTGATGACAGTGAGGTCAGTGACACTGATTGCATGTTCTTTGGGGACTATTTT